AGCAAGAACAGACCAGAACCGACCGAGAACAGACCAAGAACAGATTCTTGTAAAAAAATTAGAAAACATACATTTTTGCATAGTTTTTGGACTTTTTGGGTATTAATAAACATTTTAATTTATAAAAGAGAAAAAAAATTGGTTAGAAAAGAATAAACCTAGAACAGACCAAGAACAGACTAAGAACAAACTATTGTAAAAAGTTAGAAAACAAACATTTTTACATATTTTTTGGACTTTTTGGGTATTAATAAACATTTGAATTTATAAAAGAGAAAAAAAAATTTGTTAGAAAAGAACAAACCTAGAATAGACCAAGAACAAACCAAGAATAAACTCTTGTAAAAAGTTAGAAAACATACATTTTTGCATATTTTTTGGACTTTTTGCGTATTAATAAACATTGTAATTTATAAAAGAGAAAAAAAAGTTGGTTAGAAAAGAACAAACCTAGAACAGACCAATAACAGACCAAGAACAAATTGTAGTACCCAAAAAACCTAGAGTTTGTTCTTGGTCTGTTATAGGTTTTTTCTTTTCTAACCAATTTTTTTTTCTCTTTTATAAATTAAAATATTTATTAACACCCAAAAAGTCTAAAAATTATGCAAAAATGTATGTTTTCTAATTTTTTACAAGAGTTTATTCTTAGTTTGTTCTAGGTTTTTTCTTTTCTAACCAACTTTTTTTTCTCTTTTATAAATTACAATGTTTATTAATACCCAAAAGTCCAAAAAATATGCAAAAATGTATGTTTTCTAATTTTTTACAAGAGTTTGTTCTTGGTCTGTTCTAGGTTTTTTCTTTTCTAACCAATTTTTTTTCTCTTTTATAAATTAAAATGTTTATTAATACCCAAAAAGTCTAAAAAATATGCAAAAATGTATGTTTTCTAACTTTTTACAAGAATCTGTTCTTGGTCTGTTCTAGGTTTGTTCTTTTCTAACCAAATTTTTTTTCTCTTTTATAAATTACAATGTTTATTAATACCCAAAAAGTCCAAAAAATATGTAAAAATGTATGTTTTTTTAATTTTTTATAAGAATTTGTTCTTGGTATGTTCTCTGTCTGTTCTCAGTCGGTTCTGGTCTGTTCTGGCTATGTTAGTCGGTTCTGGTCTGTTCTTTCTATATTAGTCGGTTCTGGTCGCCCTTGCCCCCTGCGCGCGCGTCCGTGCCCCACGCGTAAGTGCCCCCGCGCGCGCGCGCGCAAATTTGGGCAGCATTTCCCCATAAATATAAGCTTCCCCATAGCCAAAATAACCTGTTGAATATGATAATTATAAATGCATTACAATGCCAATAATAAAAATATTGCAATACCAATAATGTTGTGTATACATTTTGTAACAAGCAAAACAACCAACATTTTATATACTAGTACTCACGGGCCTCTTCAGCTTGTACTAGCTCCAAATTCCGACCGTAAGTTCCAACCGGTAAGCTTCTACTTGTTCTTCAACGAGGCCTTCTAATGGGATTCTGCGGACAAGGTATTCGATAAATTTGTATGTGAAAAGTCCGCAGTCACCTGATCTAAGGTTGTGGACCAACCACTTAGGACGAACGATTGGCCACACAAAGTCAAGTTTATCGCCCAGATGGTTAAATAAACCTGTGTACTTCAAGAACTTGGGCATCATGACAGCGATTGGTGTTGGGAATAGTGTCCTAGAAGCATGAGATGTAAAAGGATATTTATTATTTATTTAATAAAATAGTTTATTCATCATTTTATGTGCATATATTTATGAATATTTTATGAATATCAAATAAAATTCCTTGATTATTTATGTAACCTTAAACATGGTATATAAGTGTTGTATACGAGAGGATAATGTTTAAGGATAATAATCAAAAGTAATTGTTCATAATGAATTTAATTAAAGTTCAGAATCTTTAATTAAAACATTATTAATACATGTCATTCCCATTTAGAATGGAACGGTGTTATCCGCACTGTTAATATGGCGAGATATTGAATGAGTGTATTTTGTATAATGAGATTATGTGGAACATGGACGCGGACATAATATGAATTTCTAATAATTTCCGTTAAGCATAGAAATTTTAATTGAGTCTACCGATGGTCATATATAGGATGATCTTAATCTTGAGTTCTTAACAAACTCCTATTTATGGATTTATGTCTTTTGATTTACTGGGTACGGATTCTGAGACCCTGAATCCTATTCCTTGTATTTTGGAGACATAATGAAATAGGTAGCTGGGAATGTTATTATACAAGATGGAATCCATTCCTTCTTGAGAAAGAAGCAGATAAATAATTCTATTGAGTGTTGATTCGGTACTTGGATTAGTAAGAGCGCTCTGGTTCATGAATGTGTTTTATGAATCACTATCCATTAGAGAATCAATGGTACTCAAGGATAAAGATGTAATTAGAGAGGTTAACGGATTCTACCTGACTCTAATTATGAATTATTTATGGAGGATTGATCTATATGTAATGACTATATCAAATGGACACTTCACAGTTTAGAAGTAATTAATGTCTATAATTTCGAGAGTGCAATTCCAAGTTTATAGTGGAGTAACTATTGGAATTAATAGAA